ATAGACCAAAAGCCAAGTTCAACACTCAAAAACTGAAGGACCAGGACACAAAGGACATCTTTACTGCAAGCATAAGGGAAAAAGCCGAGACACAAATCAACACTGGCGAAGAGGTCAGCGTCGAAAAGCACTGGGACAACTTGAAAACAGTGTGGAGTCAAACCTGCATGGAAGTTCTAGGCAGAAAGAAGAGACAGGACAAACAGTGGCTCACTACGGATACTTGGGGACTAATAGAAGAGAGAAGGATGTTGAAACAAAAGATTATCCAGTGCACCGACGAGCAGCAAAAACAGGATTTGAATGCAAGCTACAAGACACTGAACAAAAGAGTAAAGAAGAGTGCCAGAGAAGACAAAAGAAAGTACTATGAAACCATGGCAAGTGAGGCAGAACAAGCTGCAGGCAAAAGAGACCTCGCAACACTCTACCAAACTACTAGGTACCTATCGGGCATACGTTTGACACAAATTAAGCCGGTGAAGGATGACAATGGAAAGTCACTCACCAAAGAAGTGGAGCAAAGGAAACACTGGGCTGAACACTTTAAAAGAGTCCTTAATCGACCACCACCTACAACGCGCCCAACAATACCAACAACGGAGACAGAGCTACCAGTGAACACCAACCGCCCGACGAAATCAGAACTCCTGAATGCAATCAAGATGCTAAAAGGTGAAAAAGCAGCAGGACGAGAAGGAATCCCGGCAGAAGCATTGAAAATGGACCGAGAGACAACAGCGGACTTGATGACGCCATTACTGGAGAAAGTGTGGAAAGAAGGCAAAGTACCCGAGGATTGGAAGAAAGGATACTTATTCAAACTACCAAAGAAAGGAAACTTAAGTCAATGCAAGAACTGGCGCGGAATTGTGCTCCTGTCTATCCCAAGCAAAATACGAAGCCGCATCATCTTGGAGAGAATCAAACATGCCCTGGATGAAAAACTTCGACTGGAACAGGTTAGATTCAGGAGCCACAATTCATGCATTGATCAGATCGCCACATTACGGATCATCATTGAACAAAGCTTGGAGTGGCAGTCACCTCTCTATCTCAACTTCATCGACTTTGAAAAGGCCTTCGACAGCGTCGATCGAGAGGTGATTTGGCAACTACTTCGCTACTACCAAGGGGTGCCACCGACAATTATACATCTCATCCAACAGTTGTACGATAATGCTGCATGCCAAGTAATCCACAACGGGAAACTTACGGAATCCTTCGAAGTGAGGACAGAAGTAAGTAAGTAAGTAAGACAAGGCTGCCTACTATCGCCAATGATTTCCCTGATTGCAGTAGATTGGATAATGCGACAAACAGCGGGCAATGAGGAAACAGGCATAAAATGGACTCACACAAAAAACTTGGAGGATCTGGACTTCGCCGATGATATATGTCTGATTTCCCACAAACTGGAGGATATGCAAGCGAAAAGCAACAAGTTGGCAGAAGAAGCATCAAAGATAGGACTTCAGGTGAATATAGAGAAAACAGAGGTGATGAAGATTCCTGAGCAACACCACCAACAGCAACAACAACAACTGACAACAATCAGCATAAATGGAAGGAACCTGAAAGAAACAACCTCTTTTACCTACCACCTGGGAAGCATCGTTTCAACTATAGGCGGAACTGACGAGGATATCAAAGCAAGAATCGGAAAAGCAAAACAAGTTTTCACTACTCTTAAGTCTGTGTGGAGGTCAACAGCACTCAGCATGAAAAATAAGATCCGGATTTTCAACTCCAATGTGAAGTCAGTCAGTGCTACTATACGGATCAGAGACTTGCACTGCGCGTCATAAAGAGCATCTCAAACAAACTACAGACCTTCATTAACAGTTGTCTTCGCTCAATACTCAAGATCAGATAGCTGGCCAGAAAAGATCAGCAACAGAGATCTCTGGCAATGAGCGAACCAACCCGGTAGGAACCGATTGTGAAACAAATAGGCAGGAAGAAATGGAGATGGATTGACCATAATCTGAGGAAACCATCAAGTGACATCACTAGACAAGCCATTGCTCGAGTGGAACCCGAAAGGGAAGCGGCGAGTTGGTCGTCAGTGCAAGGGTGACTTGGAGGAGGTCATGTGAAGAGGAGATGAAAACGTGTGGGCAGACCTGGAGCCAGGTAAAGACTCTAGCAGAGAACCGAACGCAATGGAGACGCACGACTGAAGCCCCTATGTTCCTCTAGGAATTAAAGGGAACAATAATAATAATGTGCCGATGTGTTGATGAATGAAATACCGCACATTTGAAAGGGCTTTGGATATTTGTTTAGTGTTTGTGTGATAGACTCTTTGTTTTCATAATTTGAGTACTTAATTATCACTAACGTTAATCTATGAAAAAGCTACATTAAAAAAATATATATGCTTATCTATTTTAGGTACTCCTTCTACATCTGGTAAAGCGCATGCCTTCATTACGTGGTGGTCTCTGCAAATGGAACCCACAAATTCAACGCCATCTATCACTATTGCTCCCACTTGGACAAACGATCCTGACTGTGCTTGGAGAGACCATTGGATGCAAGCAGTTTACTTTCCTAAGATGGAGTATTCTCTAATCAAAAATGAATCATTCACTATTAAATATTCCCATGATTCGTTGTCAATGCAATTTGATTTATCTCTCAAGCATAATTCTGTCAACGACCAAAAAGCCATATTAGATGATGATAAGAAATTCTTGAGTCCATTATCATGTACCTGTGATCTACACCGTGTATGGCCTCGGACGCGTATATCTGAGCTAAATTCTTCAGATTACAAAACACTTTCTACTAAAATCCTTGATTCTGTGCGCACAATTGCAAAAGATTCAAATTCATCACTAAAAGTATTAGTCGTGTCTGACTGTACATATTTACCCTGTTTAATTAAAAAAAGTTTAGATGAGTATATGTTGCAGTCACTTATAATTCACTTAGACACGTCTCCATCGTCTTGTCTACTATTGGATCGCATATACAAATCTTGTAATACATCCTCCCGGTCGACAATAGAAAACTGTCAATCTGTTGAACACGTTTTATGTAAAATAACTGATAATAAATGTACAAATCACAAGCCTTCAAACACTACTTTATTATTGGTCGGCGAGCCATACATAACCGCAGCTATTCTTCCTTGGGATTCATTGTACTTTTGGTACGCTTTCCGAAGTCTCCTCTCACATGATCTAGCTTGTTCATCGGTGCATTCATTTGGTCCTACAAGATTACGCGTATATGCTGTTCTAGTTGACTTCGAAAACCTTTGGAGGATTCGTTCACCAGTAGGTTTTTCTTGTGAATCCTTTGATTTACGTCAATTCGATGAACTGGTGCTGAATGCTGCTGCTAAAAGTGACGAACTAATTGAACCACATCCGTTATGGGAGTACCCTGGCACAGCTCGATCTAATCCTTGTGTTATATTTGATATGATTTTACAGAATAATCCGGATCTTGATGGGAGTTTTCAGTATGCTGATCCCGAAAATTTGATACAGTGTTGCAAGAATACTTTAACTGCTTCCTCAAATTCTGTTAATGGTATAGCTTTTTGGTGTGAATGGCTTTACAGTACTCCTGTTGCACTAAAACCTCATTCTATTGAAAAATGGTGGTATGCACCAGCTGGTCCCAACAAAACTATTAAACCAAATGAAGCCATCATTTGGAAATCTCATGGTTCTAATCAGGGTGTTTTTCTTTTTCCATCAGAATGGAAGACGAAAATCTCCACTTCTGAGGATTCATTCCAAATTTCTGTACGTATGGATTTTGATATCTCAACAGGAGTTTTATCTCCATGCATTAATATAACATATGGATTTCCTGTGTGATACTTATTCTACACATCAATATGCAGAGGTTAAAGTGACATTTGTAAATAACTACGGATTTCTTTTGCAAAACATGCAATAATACAAACGTAATTTCAACAGTGCCTACGTAAAAATTCACAACTGTATGACTAGTGATCAGTCTGTTACAATTAATGGTTTAACTATATAAATCACTGTCTAAGAAAAGCTGCTGTTCGACGCTCGACCCTTCTAATTTACTCTTCCTTGATACACGTATTTTCCTCAGGGATTCTAAAAAAAGTAATCCTAATCCTTTTATGTTGTATAGCAAAACCAGTCGATTGTTGAGAATACAACAACATGAGCAAAAATAACCCTTAGGCATTCATTTTATTCTTTCCTTTAATTTCTCAGACACTTCTACTCCATTTATTTGCTCTTCACTTTTTGCACACTCTCTGCATAACTTGATTCGTCGTTGATTGCATAAGTGTATTTGAATTTGTTCTGTATCTGCTTGACTACTGTTTTTATCTTATCCATGTATGTTTTTAGTTCAGTGATTTCTCTCAATATGATTATTGTGGATCAAATTAAAGCCTTCTCTCTTGAATAACTTTCCTCAAGTAGTAGCGGACATGTGATCTTTGCATAGAAGGGTTTGATAGTGTGAAATCATAAGTCCAATTAATGGAAGGTAAGGTTTTCTGAAAACTGGTGGTACTTCCTAAACATTAAGGTGGTTTCGAATCCGTATTTCACTAGTTAAAAATTTCAATGCCTAAATCAGTGGGCTGCAATCATTACTCATCTACTGAATTGATTTTACTAACTTTGTAATAAGGGTGACAACTTTACACTATCTCTTCGAACAGACTACAAAACTTTGCTCTACTAGTGTTTTGTTTTTCGTACATTCATACGACTTATAATTCATAATTTAAGTCACACTACGTATAAATAAATAACTTTGTAGGTTTTCTCAGTGGTACCAATGACCTTGGTTTTCATCTTAACCAATCAGGACTTTTGTAGAAATTATGACCTCTTGCAACTTAGTAACCAGTAGAACGAAAGAATGCAAATACAGCAGGATATCAAATTAACTAGTGGTTAACTCATTTAAATAGCATTTTTTGAGCTTATAAAATCATTTTTTGAGCAGTGGATTATAGTATTACTACCTAAAAGAGAATTATGGCCAGTGCTTCACTAAGGCTTTACATTGAAAATGACGATGCTGACTATCCAGGGCTGAAGAAACTAAAACTACAGGGGAAAGACTTAGAGAATGTCCCAGCGGAATTGTTTATGTTAAGAGAATTACAAGTATTGGACATGAGTCCAGAAAGACAACCATCACTGACCTATAAATTATCAGAACTGCCTTCAGACATCGGTAAGTTGATATTAGAATTAGTATTATAACATTCTGCTCACTATCATAGTTAGACCTGTAGCGTTCTTTGAAAGTGGATGAGATAATAATGTATCAGACTGCTTTTATCTCGTATAAAAATCGTATAGATGACATTTCGCAAAATCCAGAGGCAAAAATCATGAGATTCACATGAGTAATAATGTAAATATTAAACCAGAAACATACTTCAGAGTTTGTGCTTCTGGTACAGGAATCTAAGAAACTCACTCAGAAATAAAACCTAATGATTCCTTTCATTCCTTTGTGTTAACATTCTTACTGATGATCTAAAAAGTTGCTAATTGGTTAGGTGAGAGTGTTGTACATTAGTAGCACTGATCAGTCCATAGATATGAAACATCACCACGTTACTTAACTTCTTATATAGTGTTTTATGCTTAGCCGTAATGTTACATTGTCTGAAAACGGTACAGTGCATGCACAATGAGAAACCATTTGTTTGTCCACTGCAGTAGAACGGTTTCTTTATCACGTAATACACTAATCGTAGGATAAGCGGATCAATATTCCACAGGTGATGCACAGTTTGAACAGAAGACTCTTTCTGAAGTAGCACAGATGATGATAAAACCAACCTTAATGTTTTAAATTTCAAGGATTTAATCTGACCTTTTAGTGATTTCCCACTAATTTAAAGTTAGGAACAGACGATTTCAAAGTACAAGTGTCCTAACTGCACATCTAATCGTTGTTTGAATCAATCGACTGTTTATTTAATGGGTGGTGGTGATTGAAGGTGGAATGAAAACCGGTCTCAGTAACATGTAAACCAGAAGCCTCCGAATTGTCAGCTGAGCTAAGATCACCCTTTCACTGCATCTATCACCCATTAATCCAATGGTAGTCCGACAATTCAAGGTTATCACGGATGGTCTCACCATCAATAAGTCGGCAATTATTGCTTATGGTGATTGAGCAGCTTAAGCACTTCCTGTTTAGTGAAATTTGACAGTGACCATTAATTTTATTATCTACCATTTAATCATCTGCTAGTAGAATATAAGACTTATCTACTAAAAGGTTGATTTGTTGTAGGAAATGTTTAAAAACGGGATCGGTTTAAGTTACATATAGTTTATTTAAACTTTATGCAGTTTGATTGGACGCTAGTTAGTAATTAGTGTAATGTGTCTAGTTCTTTGTTTGCTACACACTTAATTCTGTCAGTCAAGTTTGCAATGTGGCTACTATTCTAGGGGGCTGGCCATCACGGTGCACTTTGATTGTTGATATTAGAGGATTGGAAGCAAGAAGCCTTGGACCTAGGTTTCTTGCTAGCTGATACTCGTCAGCAAGTTGTACCCACAACCTTGAAGTGACTCATGACCACATTGGAGACTAAACTGATAGAATTCAGTCTGCACCAAACAAAGGACAAGACACATCACCCTGGTTGCTAGCTAGTGTTCAATCAAAGTATGTAACACAGTCCTATAGGACGTCGGAAAACAATAATGGCTGCAGACAACCGGTGATATGGCTCGAAATCGTTCTCAATCACAGCGCAGGTGCATCCTCTCCTTGCAATATATAATACCCAATAAAACTATATTGTTCTTCGTTATCACTATTCCTTTTGTCTCATATCCCTGTCTGCAGTCTCTATTTTTCATTTCTTCTCTTGCTTTTGTGTGCTACATGGAGTGTGGTGACTCGAACTGCTGCACATCGGTGCAAAGTTCTATGTTGAAACCAGTCAGTCAGGTCAATTGTGAGCTCGAGTAACAACGTCTCTGATTGCAGTTCTGGGTGACGCGGGTTCGAATCTCAGAAGGTACATGAATTTCAATAAAGAAAGAAAGACGAGATTTGATGTATAATATAATATCACCGTTCTACTTCACAGCTTCTCATCAGCTGCACACCACTGCCTGAAATTACAATGGTTATAAACACAATGAACATAACTTACTTCAATGTTTGAACGGTATTAACAAAGAAAACATAAAATCAATGTATCAGAAATATAAGCATTACAATTTTTGGTTTAAGTTAACCATCAATTTATATGCTTTAGGAATAGAAAAGGAGTGGGGTGGAGAAGATAGAAAACAGAAAATGTAGGTTTACATAGCAACTCAAGAGGGTTGTAGTTAATAAAATTAAAAACTTGCTGAATTGAAATCACTAATATGGATGACTAATCAATGTAATCAAAATGCAGATATTGATTACACTCTCTTTCCGTATGCCTAAGTTCGGTTTGAAACACTTGATTACATTTGCTTCAGCAAAAAGCAGCAAGTTTGTTGTCCTTTTTATGTTTAATGCTTTGAAGGATTTAGAAATGTCGACGAAATGACCTGTATCCACAAGGTGTCTGGTAGTTGCATTTTGCGAATATCTGCTTCCCTTCAGGCATAAGCTTCTTGGAATATACTTTGAAAATCCGATGGAAGCCCTTCTTTCTGTCTTTCCAGAGTACTTGCTCCCGCAAGTGCACGTAAATTCATAAACGCATTTGGAGGTGACATCAGCAGGGTACTTATCCAGTTTGGACTGGCTTATAGAGCACATGCTGCTGCTTTCATTCTGTTGTGAATCTTATTTAAAACTGCTTCCCATTTGAATGGAAGACAAATGAACACTTTCTTCTTTACAACAGTTGGATGTTTCGTTTTCTCGTTCTTTTCTTTGTTGTACTTTTGGATAAATCCATCTGGATACCCATTTTCCCCTAAACATCTCCAACAAAACCTAATTCTTCTTCCACCTTGTAGGCGAACATAACTTCCTGGCTCTGTGTCCTTACTAATCCGTGCTTAAAGCTTATAGACCAGAAGCTGTTGTCCGGTACAGGTTTCTTTTCTGTAGGTGGATTTTTGGACCGTATCATCGTTTATTATTCTTACATTAAGGTCCATGAAATTGGGCTCATCATTGTGTTCATATTCCATAATGAATTTAATTTTTGGTTGGATCTCATTAAGAAGGTCAAATAATACAGATGCCTGATATATCTCTGATTCCCCACAAACTGGAATATATGCAAGTGAAAAGCAACAAGTTGACAGAAGAAGCGTCCAGAGAAGATAAGACTTCAGGTGAACTTGGAGAAAACTGAGGTAGGTGATGAAGATTCCTGGCCAACAGCAACATAAATCAGCATAAATGGGAGAAATCTGAAAGAAACAACCTCCTTTACCTACCGAACTGGGAAGCATCGTTTCAACTACAGGTAGAACTGACGAGGATCAGCAAAGCAAGGCAAACTTCCATTTCTCTCAAGTCGGTGTGGAGATAAACAGTACCCAGCATGAAAAACGAGGTGCGGATTTTCAACTCCAATTTGAAGTCAGTGATGCCATACGGATCAGAGACTTGGTGCGTCACGAAGGGGACTTTGAACAAACTACAGACCTTCATCAACAGCTATCTTCGCTCAATACTCAAGATCAGATGGCCGGAAAGAATCAGCAACAGGGATCTCTGGGAGCAAACCAACCAGGAACTAATTGTGCAACAGATATGGAGGCGAAATAGCCATATTGTGAGAAAACCATCAAGTGACATCACACAACAGGCTCTTGAGTGGAACCCGAATTGGAATCAGTGAATTGGTCGTTTCAGGGTGACATGGAAGAGGTCATGCGAAGAGGATATGAAAGCATGTGGGCAGACGTGGAGCCAGGTGAAAACTTTGGCAGAGAACCGAACTCAATGGAGACGTGCGACTGAAACCCTATGTTCCTCTAGGAACTAAAGGAGACAATAATAATAGTGACTCATGTCTTCGCAAACAACAAGCGTATCATTGACATGTCGGCGATAGTAGGTTATTTCATTGACACCAGAACTCAGTCACGTCTTTTCACGATAACCCGTGGAGATATCGGCCAGAATAGGTCCTAGAGGTGGACCCATGGCGACCCCATCAATTTATTGATAAAAGTGATTGTTCAATTTGAATTGGATATCTTTCGTGTAGAGAAGTAGTTGACGCTCACCTCTGTTTCCGGTAGTGACAATAGATCTGCTTAATTACAAATGATGTCGATTGTTTCGATCACTCGTACATTTGTAAAAAAGACTGTCATGTCAAACGAAATCACATGGTAGACTTCCTTACAAAATTGGAAGGTATCTTTCAAGCTATTGACTCCACTGAATCATCTAACCATCAAGCTAGCTTTTGGCGTGGTGACATGATCAATGATAACATGAGTCTCGAGGGCACATTAGCCTTATGGATTTTCGTCAGACCGCACATAAAAGGGAGGCGTCCACCTTTTGACCTGAGTTCATTGTATGTTTTGTTTTCGATCAGTTTCTTGATGAGAAGTTCTTTGAGTCATTTATTTACTTTATTTTTAAATGACACTGTTGCATCCTTTTTAGTTTTGTCCACCTGGAATTTTTCCGGATCGTTAAGAACTGTCAACATGTTATGTACATAATTAGTTTTGTTCCTTATAACAACGCTAGAGCGTTTATCAGGTCTAAACATGACGATATCATCATTTTCATATAGTCAATTAAGCCCTGCTGTATGTTCCTCTGTCAACATCTGCTTTCCGGATGGTGATGTGTGGTATTGGTTGGCTATATCGACCAGCTTAGACTTCAGCTATCCTCTTTTGTCTTCGTCTATGAGTTTTAAGTTAGAAAGCTGGTAGTGTAACTGTTCAAATTGTGATTATGTATCTATACTGTTTATACGCAGTTTTGGAAAATGAAACCTGAATCCAGGAGGTAAGGCTTCTAATTAAATTTCGCTTGACTGTAATTCCGATAGATTACACGCGTATTGTTCAGGTTCTCCTGGAAATTCTTCAGTTAACTTTTCGTATTCTTTGTCAGCTTTGGATTGTATTCTTTGGTTAAGTCCACGAATCTGAGACAGCAAAATATTTAGCTTTTTGAGTAGGATATCATACGTAGCCGTATGAGACTTCAGACTGGAAAGATATTTGTGCGAAGATTTATAACCATTGTAATTTCAAGTAGTTTGCAACTGA